GTGGGTGGGATGTACTGGCAGAGCAAAAATACAGGAGTGCTCAGCTGAGTGTGAAGCCAAGTGATGTGCAGTGAACACAGGTGTAATTTGAGGTGTGAGGACACACTATTTGTGCTTTGACAAAGAGTTTGTCTCTTGGGAAATTACTGGATTTTTCATGGCTTTTGTGGCTTTTTCATAGTGTCCTCATGTGCTAATGGCCAGGTTGTGCTCTGATGGGCCATGTGGACCCTGCTCGTTCACAGGACGCTCCTAAATGGAGGCTCACACAGAGCCGCTGCATGTGGCCCTGAACCCACCCTGCAGTACCTGAGAGTCAGAGAGCCACTGGGCAGGTCTGTCAGAAACACGTGTCCAGAGCTGTGCAGTCACACAGACACATTAATCTTCAGCTAAATGTGGATGGGGATGTGCAGGGAGAGGTACTCCACGACAGCATGAACTGTTTGTTGTTCTCCTGTCAGAAGTCACTTCATTCCTCCATGCAAAGACAGAACTAGATTGCCGCCTCATGTAAGAGATCAGAACTCTTCAGCTGAACTGCAGCTGGAAAGAATGATTTTATGGCCCACCAAAAGTCTTCAGAGCCAACTGCACAGGTAACCCCACAGAAACAAATGATTGAATTTTGGATCTTAATTGCTGTGTAAACTGTATTTATTATACACGCACACGTTTAAGAATCTTCCTCTGTTAAAGTCTAATCTCTTGGTAAACATCCTCAAATCATTAACCCAGCTGGGCTGCTCAAGGACTCTTTCTGCTGATACAAACAAGGCATCATGAGCACACAGTCCCCTTACTTTGCAGGCTCTTCTACCCAGCTACTGTGCGTGCAAGCTCTGATCAATACTTTCAAAAGGTAGGCCAATGCTGACCATGTTTGCCAGGACATAAATAGCCTCTGTTCTGGTTTCTGTGTTATAGATGCAGAAAGCAGACAAATGCTTTATGTTTGATTTCTTGCAAAGTGTTACCAGTCACCTATTTCCTCCCACTTACTCTGTTCACACTTAAAGGTTAAGACATCTCCCCTTTATTTAATGGAAACAAATAACGATACTTGATGCACATTTGTATTTCTTCACATTGTTTCCCAAGCATCACATGCACATGCATAAATTAGCCAAAGATCTAAACCCATACCAATGAAAGAACTAAACCATCCCCAAGAAAGAGGTGCAAAGGTACAAAAACCCCAAACCACAACACAGGTCACCACCACAGCAGATTTATATAAAATGCTTGGAAGGGTTAATAAGGTAAAATATCCAGTGGTGAGACATTATGCAGTACTGAAGTCTATGATTTACTTAAATATCCTTTACTGAAATTATTAATTCAAACACATGGTCACCTTAAATTTTAATCTCTGCAGTAATTTCCTTGCCTGTCAGGTAGCGGAATGCTGAAATCATTCAGGTTGGATACGTAGTTCTGACCTAGAGTTTTACTGTGCTGAGCTGTATGCACAAAGCCATTAATCTTGCAGTGTTATGAAGAAACAGTTTCCTTCAATTTTAAAAGATTGCCTATTAAAAACCATTTTAGAAAATCCAAACCTTTCTCAACAGCTGTGACAGCAGCAAGTCCTGTAATTCATAATTGGCTATTAAAAGAAAACTGCAGCACAATACAGAGGATTTAAAGCAAGAATCAGGAGAAAGAGGTAGGAGGAAAAACAGTGTTTCACTTATAAGCACTGTGCTTAAAGTCTGGGCTTTGTGCTTGATCCTCTAATTCAAGAGTGGTGGTGGTAGACCTTTCAGAAATGTCTTGGTTTGTATTCCATATCAGTTGTATTGGAGGACAATGAAGTTTGCGCTGGTGCTGAGCCATGTGCTGCTTAACTGGGAATCCTAAAACACCAGGACACTGCGAATACTGCAAGGTAAAATGACAAGTTAGTGACTGCAAAAGAGCCTCTGGACTAACATGAGCAAAACACTGCTGTTTTCTCTGACAATCTAGGCCACTGCTGTTAACTAGGGTCTCCCTCCCTGCTCCTGCCCATGCCCCCAGCCCAGCTTCCAGCAAAATGACAGATCAGAGGTGCAAACCTTGCTGCAGATGTAGAGAACAAAACTCATACAAGACTGCAAAGCCTTCACTCAGGAAGCTTGGGGCTCCTGGTAATTAATCACCCAGTATAGCCTGGGAGGTCCTTGGAGGGGGGCTTATCACATCTTTCCAGTGACAAATGGCTCTAAGGGTAACCTCTGAATGGAACAGTTTATTCTGGGCTGAAGCACTGAAGTGTTTCACTTAGCAAAGATGGTCAGCTACACCATGGCTTCTGTCTTCAGGTTGACTGTCAGTATTTTAGCAAAGCTGATAGTGTGTCTGTCCTCACCGCTTTCCCCTGTTTGTTACACTAAAATCTAAAACTTACGTTTACAGCACATCTAAGCTAAGGACAGTCAAAATATGAGGTGCGTGCTGCATAGTCAGAAGCTGAGAACAAACCTCAGGGGCTCAATTCTTCTGTTACGTGCTTCTTATATTTAGAGCAAGGAACACTAAAATAACTGCTAGCAAATGTCAATGAAAATAAAACATGAATGTAACTCTCCAGACTGTGTAACTTAAAAAGAGCTAGAACTTTCCAAAAGGGCAGTCCCCACACATACTAAGATACACAAATACATTTCCTACTTCTGCCAAGGGGAATTTTCAGTTATTCCCATGGTGAATCTTGCCAAATGTCTCTGGCAAACAATATTTCCAGTTTTGACACCTTATGAAAACAGAGTCTGAGCTGTAATCTCACAATATTTGAGGAATGCACGAGAGCTAAATTCTGAGGTTGCAATGTATATATACACTGAGTAATTTCCTTTCTGAAAAGCTCTGAAGTTTAAGGTAAACTGCCCAGTGACTTCAGGACTAGCTGCCCTGGGACTCTGTTCCCTAACTCACAAGAGGAGTTGCGAGTTGCTCTTCCAGTAAACACAGCCTATTGCTTGTTCCTCCTGCTCCTCATCCTAAATAATTTCTTGGAATGCGATGTAGCTAACCCCTGGCACTCTACATCTTGGCATTCCCGGGCTCCCTTGGTTGTGTGTTGTTTTCCAGTGGGTAGTGGGCAGAGACTTCCTCATTTGTGTTGTCTTTTCTCCCTCTGCCACCCAGAGTCTTTGCTCAAACCAGAATCTGAAGGTTCCTCTGTAAGGAAAGACAGGGCTTGCTGCATTTCAACAGCTAAAGCTTTGCTGGCTTTAGTACTACAGCTGCCACCCGTGGACATACACTGGGCAAGACAGAGGGACATAGTGGGTTCCTTCCCCATTCTCTGCTGGGAAGACATACTCTGTGTTACTGTACAGCTCCTTTAGCTTATTTATATAGAACCTTTACAATTAACCAACAATTACCTCTTCCCTGCCCTTAGCAGATCAAATCCCTCATTGATTTTAGTGAAAGGAAGCGTGTGGGTTATTAATGGATCCAGAACAAATTTTTTCTTCATGTAGTCAGCAACCAGTTTAGGGACTGAATCTTTACCCTTCCAGCCTGAAAAAAACACACAGACAATGGATAATGAAACATTAAATGCTTGCGAAAATAGACAGAGCCCATGGCAGCTTAAACTTTCCGATAAACTTTCTCAGTTTTCTCAGAGCTCAGAAAACAGAAAGAACTGGCAGGGACTGACAGCCACTGGCAAGCAGCAGATCTGGGGTCTGACCTATGTGGAAATCAGGTTGTTCTGACCCCCATGTCCTTTAGGGTCTTGACTCTCCATCTTGCACTCTCTCTTTTTTTCCCCACTCTTTCTGTCTTCCCATGCCTTTCATTCTCCTTTTTGCTATTGCTCTTTTTCTCCCCTTTCTGTCTCTCTCCTCTCCCCCCCACCTGCCCTTATTTTTTCCTTATTTGCCTTTCTCTCCTTTTATCTTAACTTTTCTTTATCTCTTTTTCTCTTCTCTATTTTAATCTCTCCTACTTCCTCCCTCTCTTCTTTCTTCATTCTTCTACCTTACTCTCTCCCCTTTTTTTCTCATTTTTTTCTTATTTTCTTTCTCCTCTTTTCCCACCTTTTTCTCTATTTTTTTCTTTTTATGTCTTCCTTTCTTTCTCTGCTGCTTATTCTCTCCCCTTTCTTTCCCCCTCTATCCCTCTCTTTTTCTCTCCATTTGGTCTTAACTAACAGTTCCCATAATTGATTCCCTTTGTGCTTCCTTGTCAGCAAAACAGCGATCAATATTACTTCCAATAGGACAACCTAAGCAATGAATTTAGATATATCCTATTTCATTCAAGATGATCTACAAGCTGCCCAAGCCAGTTAAATCACATCTTTCCAAGTCCTTACCTCCAAAGACAGACCCTTTCCAGTTGCGACCAGTGAAGAGGAGCATGGGGTCAAAAGTGATCTTTTGTGCTGCAGGAGGCACTCCCACAATCACACTGACTCCATAGTTGTACTGGCAACAGGCCAGGGCTGAAACCTGCATTTGAAACACAGGGACACCCCAGAGTCATGCAACATCTTCCGGTAGGGCACAAAAGTTTGAATTCCTCCTCCTCCTCTCAGAACTCAGCTTGCAATTCATTTTTTGTAACTGAAACTACATTGAACAATTTCTGTTGTAGCTGGTCACTCCACTGTATCTGCTGTCATGGGTTAAGTATGTCTTAGCTTTGTTCTCCTTCCCCATTTTGTTTTAGTCATTACTGATAAACCACTGTTGGAAAGCACATAGTGGGCTATGTGAAATTCAGCCACCCTGGTTAGGCCAGGGGACTACACTGAAGTTTCATTTCCTAAGTTTTTGAGCATGCTTCTGTCTCTGCAGCTCAGCGGCAGATAGCTGGACTTAACAGGTCTGAAGTTCGCTTGATACTTTGCCAGTGGCTCTCAGCTCCTCACCCTTGGTGCTCAGTAGGTTAGCAAAGAGAGCGCTAACAAGCTAATGCCTCATTTGACCACATCTTTTGGTTGCATACCATGGTTTCAGTACGGCCGATGGCCTCAAAGGAGTAGTCCACACCTTGGCCGGTCATTTCAATCAACACTTCATGAACAGGCTTCTTGAAATCTTTAGGGTTGATGCAGTCGGTGGCTCCCAGCTCCTTGGCCTTGGCAAATTTGTCACTATTGATGTCAACAGCAATGATGCGGGAAGCTCCAGCTGCCTTGCAGCCCATGACAACAGAGAGGCCAACTCCTCCAAGGCCAAAGATAGCGCAAGTGGAGCCTGGTTCCACCTACAATAACCATATAAACATGTGATACTGTAATAGTCTAGGTAAAGTATAATGCACATTTTTATTATCGACATGTTTTCACTTAAGCCACTTCTTCTAATTTAGAGGTTACCTGCTGAGAAGGAATTTGCACACACATACCTACTAGTGCAGTAGCCAGCCATACTGTTATAATCCCACATGTGACTAAGATAAATTGTCCCTAAAATACATTTCTGAGACCAGGTTTTCATTACATGTCTCATCTTCAGATTTAGAGACACATGTTTTAATGATGCTTTATATTCCAGTGATGTTAAGATCTGTAGTGTCACTCCACTGGAGACAGTGTCAGTTGTAAAAGTCACATTCGTGAACTGCTACAAATTATGAGTTGCATATATAAGCTTCCATGTATTCCTAGACTTAAGTTACTTTAGGTGATGAATCAAATAACCTCTGTTGTAATATTTTATTAGAGGTGATAAAGCTATGAGAGAAAACTTAATAGATAGTAGTAAGTATTTTTACTGGATTTTGAATTGAAGACTTCTTGGTACCTTAGAGACAGAGAAACTGAAGTAGGCAAAGAACTAATATCTTCTTTCCACCCTGAACTCAACAGAGTCTATACCTCCTGGCTGCCATTCTGACAACCTGCTTGCAGGCCACACAGTCCTAAACAGACCACATGAGATACCTGAAACACCCACCATGATACTTACCTTGGCAGTCTGCACAGCAGCCCCATAACCAGTTGAAAATCCACAGCCGATTAGACAAACTTTTTCCAGAGGAGCAGCAGAATCGATTTTGGCTACAGCAGATTCATCCACTACTGTGTATTCAGTGAAGGTACTTGTACCAACAAAATGGTGAATTGGTTTTCCTTTGCAGGTGAATCTACTGGTGCCATCAGGCATTAATCCAACAGCTGAACCAATGCTGTTTGAAAGATCAGAAATAATGGCAAGTGAGATCTGTTGAATGTGATCATTTTTGTATAAATAAACATTGGGTAAGGGTTGTAGGTAATGCAGGAAAACTCACTCATTTTTATTGCACAGATTACCCTTGGTGCTTAAGCAATTGCTGCACTCCCCACACTGTGGAGCAAAGAGTGGAATAACCTTGTCTCCTAGAAAAAGAACAGTAATGACAGAGAATTAAAAAAGGCAAACAAGAAGCATGCAGGTAAAAACATAAAGCAGGTGTATTTAATCCCTAGGCAAATGTGCACTAGGAGTGCAGTGATGGTTTTATTTCCTTCTGCTGCCCTTGGAAGGTAAACCATCTCTCTGTTATAAAGGACATCATTAGGGCAAAGTTATTACAACTAATTTCAATATGCAAAATTCCTGGTGTCTTTCATAGAACTGACTCACTCTGAGCCACATTATAAAACTGTGTTAGCTACTGACATTCCTGAAGTACTCATTCAGCAGTTTATTGCATCTTCTTCTTAAAAGGAAAATACTAATATACAGAAAAAGAAACTGAGATAAAAATTGACATCCACTAGGACAAGTGTCAAAATAACAGGGCTGTACACTGCGCATACAAAGGATGGAAATTAAGCATTAATTTGCCATCTCTCTTGTGTCTCTTCCCTATTTGCAGTCCTGCTACTGTTGCACCGGAGTAAATATAGGTAAAATATTTGTCAGAGAAGCAGTGACACACACAGGCTAAGACCACATTTCTAATTCTCTAGCACAATTATATAACAAAGAAGCACACAGCTTCCCAGTGCAATTTTTTACTGCTATGCATTTTCCACAGCGATGATGTATGGTAAATCCCTAACAATCTAAACAGGTAATCCCTAACACAGATTGATTTGTGATGTGGCAGTTCTAAAATGTGGCTAAACCTTGACATGTTGAAAGTCAAGGGAAATCTTTGATTTCCACTACAAAATGGAAAACGCCTACAGAACATGAAATGCCCCCATTACCCTGACCCTCAGTTAATTTAGAACTGTGTCATGGGCTTAGTAATCATTCTGCTAAAGAAATTTTACGCATCTTGGAGCTTTTTTAAAACTCAAGAACATATGAGAAATGTGATTTTGTGCATGTATGTGTTCAGGCCTGCTGTTTCAGCTCACCTGGAAACACTTGGCAGTCAGAATTAGACCACAGAGTGATTTATGAACCCAGACATCAGAGAAAAAGCAGTTAGAGCTATCACTGAAATTTACAATATACAGATCTGTTTGGAGTTAAAGCAGAAATTGCTAACAAAACTTTTTCGTATCATACATACCAACCTGTGTTAGACAGACTTCATACTTGTTGCCAGTATGAACAAGGACACTGGAAGTACAGAGGTGTTAAAAGTGAACTACTTAGTTATTGTAACAAACTGCCTGGATAAAATTGAGCATTTCTATGCAGATTTTGTTCACTGCATATTTTGTCTTAATAATTTAGCCCTTGTTAGAATTTGTTTGGTCCCATAAACATGGATAGAAATCCCATCTCATCTTGCAGCATTTGGAGGAAAACCAGCATCTTTCACTGACTTCCCTACCTACCAGTTGTGGTTCGAAGGGAGTGCAGCGAGAGGAGCAGCTGATCCCGGTAAGCCTCCTCAGAGCGGTCCAGCCGCAGTGAACAGCGCTGCCTCACCGCCGCTGGTGCTGCAGCCAGCAGAGCCTGCAGCAGGGTGGGCACCCCAGTCGTGCCCTGATACTTTTAAAGTGAAGTAATTGAACACACAGACTTAAGCTCTGGTCTACTGAGGTCAGTGGATTACTTAGCTTTTAGGAGAATTAAAAGAAGGTGCTTTGACATGTTGTCTCGTGCATTGCTTTGCCTTATTCTTGAGAGAGATCAGCTGTATAAACTGTATTTAAAGAACTTGCAGTTAATACCTGATTTCCTATAACTAGCAGAAAAGAATCTATGTTATTAATTCCATGACTGGAAAAGGGCTATGTAGGTGGAAAGCAAGCTGCAGATATTTTTGTGAAATCCAAAAGAAATTGAATAGAAAATATGAGAAGAAATAGAGATTGGGAACACAAAATAAATGCAAACAGCATGTAGTGTCCTTTAAGGTATCCTTGAAAGAACTCAAAGTTGGAATATTTTCCTCTGCAATACAAGTACTCACACATATAATCATCTTTGACTTAAACAGGAGTCTGGAAACTCAGCACAGTGTTTGTGTTCACTGCTGATTCATACCTGGTTTGACTGAAGTTACTCCCTGCCCAACACTCTCCACAACACCAGCTGCTTCATGTCCAAGAATTATTGGGAAAGGCATAACCAGTCCACCAGTTACCACATGGTCATCAGAGCGACAGATCCCTGTGGCCATGATCTGATTTAGAGGAAAGACAAGAATATTTCAGCATTTAACTCTGTCATATGCGGAAGTGAAATTATATTATATATTTGGACAAGTCACTTGCTTCCCTCCAAAATCATCTATACATGCAATAAATCTACAGGTAAAACGCTTTCAGGTTGTGTGATTCATGATTTTAATGGTTTGTATTAGTCTTTAATCTACAAAATAACTGTGCACTACTGAACAATATAGGGAGTCTCACTGATTATCTGGCAGAACCAATGTTCTAGCAATATAATTATATATGAAGAACAGAATAAAATAAATTATTCCTAATATGCATATATAAATACATAGAGTTTTTAATATAGAAATATTATAAAATTATGTAAAAATAAATTAACTCACATATTTATAAACCTTGAAATATCATATGTTTTAAATTCCTTATATTTAGATTATATTACAATATATCATATAATAGATATATTAAATATATATTATACAATCATTATATAGTGATATATTTAAAATATATGTATATGTTATATATACAAAAAATTAGGCTACACATAGTGTTTTAGATCACATTTTGCCCTTTCTTGCAGGTAGCACAGCAGTATTTCTTCTGAAACAAGCAGGTATATCTTTACTTCTATTCTGACAGATGGAGTCATCAAGCCCATGTGAGGGCTCTCCTCACTTGGGTAACACTTGAAAGTTCTCTAAAATTAAAACAGGTGTTGAATTCCACTGAGCAAGTTTCTGAAATGTAACAGATGCTCAATACCCAGTTAAAAAAGGAAGCTTCCAGTCCTACTGAGCTATTTCTTAGCACAAACAGAGAAAAAGATAATTTCTTACTACAGGAGATTCATATTTTTGCCCTGTACTGTAATGTTTTCAGCCTATTAGAAGCACAGGCATCTTAGTAAACAAAAAACCCAGCCTTAAAAAACTTTTTTTTTAAAAAAAGAACCTCATGATCAAATTTAGGACTTGAAGTATGTTCCATAGGAGCTCACTGCATAGTAAATACTCACCTAGTGAATTTTTTTCTGACTGGATCCTACAATTCTATAGAAATAATTCTGATAAACAGAAAGATAGAATGCAAGTCATAATAGTTGTTTTAAATTTTTTTTAGTACCTTTATGCGAACTTCATGTGCTTTTGGAGGGGCAACCTCCACTTCCTCAATAGAAAATGGTTTATTGGCTTCCCACAGTACTGCTGCTTTGCATTTAATAACCTGCAAACAGCAAAGAGAAAGGGAATGGTATTTGCATTTCAAGTCACCACACAAACAGATTCTTATATTTCTGCATATGAAAATCCAGCTCATATTTTGGGGAGGAGAGGGAATACTACAGGAAAAAAGACCCCAACCCCAAACTACAACAAAAAAGCCAACACCAAAGCGCAGTGTAAGTCCATTTTTTTCCCCCACCAAGATCAATTGTCTGACTTAGTTCATATTTCTGTCATACAGAGTTTTCAGCAATAACATGTATAATAGTCTCCTAGGATAACTGGATACTTTATCCATCCTCATTGCTCCTTCTCTGTTTCTAACCTCCTTGGAGGAGTATTTTTGCTGTGTTGGATTACTGGTGTATATTTGTGTCTTCTTGGAGATGGCACACTAAATGGTGCCATGTATCAGGTTGCAATTAAGTCTGTATTGCCTAGAACTGCCTGTGTCGGGAACTGACAAAATTGTTAAAAATGGAATTCAGAGCCTAATACAGGTGTCTTATTTTATTACAGCTCAAGTTCAGCTATGAGGTGATGGCTGAGAGGACATTTATGTAAAATGACATAGTACTATGCAGGGGTAATCTTGAAGAAGCAACAGTCCCTTTAGTGGAAGATTACCCATGCTAAAGTTAACTCCGCTGGGGTTACTCCCAATACCCAAGACATTTTTTTTGTCTGTTAGACTAAAGTTTGTGCATTAGCTCTGCAGGCTTTGTCCAGGTGCTGACTGGCCTCTGGGCTCCTCTGATCATCTGCCACTGAGAAAAAAATGCACTCAGAAGAGAGAGGAGTGTTGTCCACTTCCCATCCCAGGCTCTCAGACAGCAGACTTTCCACCTGCAAGCTCGCTCCTAGTGTATTCAAAGGTTGTGGTCCTCTCTGTCCCCATATTCATTCCTGTTCTTACTTGGTAGTCTGCCCATCTCAAAATGACTCCATGCCCTGGAATATGATTTAGAATATGATCTATAATATAGTCTATTAAGTCCTCAGTCACTCACGTCCTACTGACTGCAAGCATTCAGGTGGCATTATTTTGAGAAGGAAATGGAAACAAATCAAATCCATGATGCAAGAAGTTCAGTACATGTGTAAGTATCCTTATGGGACCCTGGGACTGGGACAGCTTAACACCAGTATGCTGCAGAGTTCTCAGGGGAAAATAAATAAAGCAACTTTTTAGTATCAAAGCTTTTGAAGTAGAAGTAGAAACAATGTCTATCAACAAATTGTCAATTGGTAACAAAGAAAATAATTACTAGGAAATATTAAACATTTGAAATAAAATAGCACACTTTCAGCAGACAGACCCAAAGTGGGAATGAGCACAATGCTTTGAAAAAGACAGACTCAGGAGAAGTTTGCACTAAAGTTAATGTCAAATGCAAGCGTTATTAGTAAAAAATTCATAAGTGAGGCCAAAGATCACATTTTAAAGGGCCACATTTTCTAGGAAACGTAGTTAAAAAAAAAGGCTTATGTATGTATTATTATGCAATTTATAAAATCACAATACTGGTTCACAACTTGAACATGCAAAGCACACATAGTGTTTGTAAGAGCAAAGGTAGCAAGAATTGTGGATTGCCAAAAACAAATAAATCCCTCCCACAATTAGACATTGGTTAACTATGTATTGTTCTGATGGTTAGACATTGGTTAACTATGTATTGGACTGATGGAGTCTCTGTGAACTTTTACCAACTGTAACAGGATCCCACAGATGCACACTACCACCCATTTAATCTATTAAGGTAAGGACTAGTTGGAGTCACGGGGTTTTTCTCTGCTGTGTTCTACCAGCCATACCCGTTACTGCAACAGGGGGAGGGTAGGTGTAGAAACACACCCTTTTACAGAGCATAAGGATTATGCTGCTTGGTCATGTAAACTGCACAGTAACTCACATATTACTCCAAGATAAACACAGTGAAAACAAGGCAGTTTAGTTACATCACAGCACTTCATTTACCATGCTCAGTCCAAGGCTGGGTGGAGGACTGAACTTGGTGAATTTACCAAGTGAGCTACAGTTAATTTTGCACTTGTGGTATCTCAGTTAAATGAGAGCATTTGTTTTTCTCTTGTTTGGTTTTAGAATAGTGAAGACAGCTCACAGTAACAGCAAACAATCCTGGTACTTTCTTAAGGCGCATTCCAGCAATGTATGTGCCTTCAGTAGTTTTCCATCTCTGGGTCCTGTCCATCCACCTCTCTTGCATGTCTCTGAGTGTATGGAGCAGATCATCTTGAGTGCCATCATGCAGCACATACAGGGCAACCAGGTGATGAGGCCCAGTCAGCATGGGTTTATGAAAGGCAGGTCCTGCTTGACAAACCTGATCTCCTCCTATGACAAGGTGACTGGCTTAGTGGATGAGGGAAAGGCTGTGGATGTGGCACTTAAGGACATGGTTTAGTGGTGGACTTGGCAGTGCCAGGTTAACAGTTGGACTCAATGATCTTAAAGGTCTTTTCCAAGGTAAATGATTCTATGATTCTATGTTAGCATCTCTCAGGTAGCACAAGAAGCAACATATACTGTCTTCAGCAGTGGTATTAACCTACATCTCTTGTCACTTACTTTCTAGCAAAGATGTAAATACCCATTTCAGTCCCAGCTCAGTACTGCATTGCATGTGATATTTTTTTTCTTCATTAACATAAGCTCAAGATTTGTTATACACATATTCAAATTTAGTGACTGTCCTACCCTCAGCACAATTACACCCTGAAATTTAACACAATATTAACTATGTCTTTTTTTTTTACAAAACAAATTGATATGAATGATAGAGAAACTAAAAATTGTTTAAACTACTGTAGGATCTCAGAATGGAAACTGATAGAGCTGATAAATACACTGATCTGAACACTTAACATACTGCATCATATTTTAAGCTGTCCAATCAGAGATTAAAAATAGGTTGCTAACCCTGGGAGAAGGTTATTCTGGTGCTGTTACCTTATGCTGCCTTGGTGTTTAAAAAAATTAATAAATTATTGCCTTGAAGAATGCAACAACCATTTCCTAGGAGAGTACAGTAGCCTGCAAGTAAAGGCAGCTCTTCTGTACCAGCTTCCTCCTAAACTCTTATCTGTGCTAGAACCACCCAGACTCATGGTGTCCCTGAAAAGAAACTTCATTTAAAAATGCCTTACTTAGCTGCAGTGAAGAAACTTTTCTAATATAAACTTTTGCTTACTTTGCCTGCTGTGCTCATGTTGACCGGTGTATCTGTTTTGAATCTTGCCACCACTGATTTCTTGCGCCAAGAATTCAGTCAGCTGCAAAGCAGTCGGGTTGCTGACACTACAAGTCCTGACAAACACACTGGAAGCCAATCTTGTGAAGTACTCCAGCAAATACACTGCTCTGACCGTTTAGCCAAGCCTCCCAGCTCAGAGTCCCACCCCTTCATCAGCCAAAGCGCTACAATGAAAATAAACCACCCATCTGCTGAAACCTCACACTTCACAGTGCTTCTGTCTTCCCCATTCCTTTGTCATGCTCTTCCACACCCTTTTCACATTCCATCTATGGTGGCCCTCAACATGTCAGGAAGGAAGCAAAACCCCTGGCTGGAAGCTGTCCCCTCTTCCCACCTCCTTGGGAGGCTGCTCTCCAAACCCACTGCTCTCAGAGGCACTTAGGTGCACAGAGGAAAGGGGAGAGTGGCTACTGAATTCACAGCAGCAGGAATGCTTGGCTGAATTACTTTGGGGACACTCATAAGAGCCCCGCTGATATATTAAAACATGCTGTTGTGCAAGCAGCTTAAGAAACACAGTCTGGCTGCAGACTGTACCTGCTCCCGATTCCTTAGTTTTACAGTCTGTCTACTCATTAATTGTTGGAATGGCTTTCAGTGAACAGTGATCAAGGACAATGTGCCAATCATGCTGACAGGAAACCAAAAATCACTAAGTCAGCAAATGCTGTGAGAGGATGCGTGCTCCTTATCACGTGCAACACCTGCTTGATTTGCAAGTGGCTGCCTGACCCGTGGGTTCCATCAACGCCCACAAGCACAGGCCCCATCACTGCTGATGTGCCCACATACTTACCCTCTCCTTGCACAACGTCCTGGTGCAAGGGATTAGGTGGAGTTCAGCACTGCATGCCTTTGCTGTGGATTTCAAGCCTCATCTACCTTCAAACTATGCTCAACATTCTGAAATCAAGGTTTTTCCTTCAGAAACAAGCACAAAAGAGATAAAATACTGCGCATCACCTGACTAGTAATTACTAAATACAGCACTCTCTCAGGTTTGCCTGTATGACTGTAATTAATTTAAGAAGCAGGTAGATGTATGTAACCTCTGGCAGGTACTTCAGGGACGCTGGGGCGTTCACGTGGCCTCAGAGACGCAATTCCAGCCTGCCGGGACACGAGCTGTGTTTAGCCAGGGCTAGAACAAAGAGCAATAGCCGGAGGCTTCCCATGGAAAAAGGCTAAGAGTCCTGGCTTGGATCTGGGGAATGGCAGGCCTCAGGGTATTCATCCATACAGTCTGCTCTACAGACTTTTGAAACAAAGCCCCTCTCCCCTGTGTCACACCCCACCTGCGGGGAGGGTGGTAGGTGACTCAAGAGTCACAAATTCCCTTCAGTGTGAAGTGAGACAACACTTGAGGCCCGTATGTAAGTGTCTGCTTTAATGGAAACACGTACTCTGTACACATTGGCACTTCCACAACTACATCTATCTAAGCTACACGGCATTATGGGAAATCAAGATCCACCCTGTGTTACATAACAATTTTAACTGTTACTTAGTAGCTTTAAGATTACTTAGAAGAGAAGGGGGGAGAAGGGG